TCCTGTTTAACTACCTACAGTTTTCACCGAGTGGCCACTTCCCCCAATTGAAGAACCTGCATTTGGATTGTCTGTCACAAAGGGATGTAAATACTGCCCAGAGAATGGTGGCCCTTCGGGATTCATTGGAAGATATTCAAATTAATTACTCAGTCGTTTGGGACAGAGGAAGAGACCGCAAGAGTTTTTGGTGTTCTCAATGCAACTCGGCGTCGAAGGAGGTGGAGGAGGAAGTCGGAAGCATCGACTTGTCTGTCGCATCTAAAATACTCTACCACCACCGTTCGTCGTCGTCGTCGCCGCTCCACCTTCATCTGCATCTCAACGTCTTCGGTAAGGAGGAGGGGGAGGAAAATAACCTTGATGCAACCGTGGTACATCTGCTAGGTCAATCTGCTGCGTACTCGATTCTCTCGATAGAATGCTGTCGTCCGGACGGCAGGATTGATCGCTCCTGCTCGGCTGTCGAATATCTCCTTTCGTCCGTCTGCTCTCGGGCCTGTTTGCCTATTTTCAACCATCCACTACCACCCAGTCTGACCGAGCTCCGTATTTCAGCTGAGGTGTGCGTTGGCCTTATTCATACCAACTGGCTAGCAGCCGAAGACGGCAGCGGTCTGTCTATCTCCAGAGTGCGGTCACTCAGCATCTCTCCCGAGTGTTGGCTGTTCCCCTTGTGGTCTTCCTCGGGAAGGCCTGTAAACGCCGGAGACCTTGAGTCGTTGCTTGCCCACCTGCCATGCCTGACAACACTTAGCCTGTGTACAAGATGCCTCATTCGGTGCAGGGGATTGGAGTTGGTCCTGCGCGCCTGTTCCCGCCTTCGAAGACTGTATCTTCATTCGAGAGCATTTGAGTCTGTTCAGGGCGTGCTAGCTCAACTGCGACTCTCGGCAGAGCATCGGCGGCTAGAAGTCTTGGTGCTAGACTGTCCCTACGACATAACGCCCTACGATCTGGCTGATGTGCAGAAACTGCCTGCGGTGCGTTATATTCTGCTACGACTGGGCTCTTTTATTAGACTGGCGGCGGCCTGGGTAGTGAACCTCTTTGACAGACTACCCAGTCTCGAGTGGTTCGTCTACATTTCGCCGGTTGAGTGCCGGACTTTTGTCTGCAGTAGAATCAGTCCAGGTGCGAGCCTCGAGTTTGCGGAACTGGATACGGACAGGATTCCCGTGCTGATCCAGCGACTGCCTCAACTGCTTAGTGTATTTTGGGAGAGGCTTCTTGATTTGGCCTAGTGGTTTTGAGAAAGCTTATCTACTCATATCTTTCAGTGCACATTTCCAGCTCACTCCTTTCAGAAGTAGACGTGTGGATTATGATGTTAAACTGTTTTTTTTTGTCTGTGCGTGAAATGGTGTAGCCACAACTTGCCCAACTCGATGAAGTTCAGTTCGTCGTACTATCATGTTTATACGAGAGTCAATAACAAAAAATAAACTGTAAACGAACGAGAGGTTTTTTACTTGATCCAGATGACACAGTAGGGACTATGTCCACCCTCCGCCTTCGGTTCATTGGAAAATCAGCTCGTCGAGGACAGACAATCCGCGCCCGGTAGTACTAATTCTACTGAAAACCGGATCAGAAGGAGTTAAAGATGTGACGGGTGACAATCAAGATGATGCCTGGGGTGAGAGTGGGCCTCAAAGTATGTATGAGGGGTGGGAAAGGGGGGGGGCTGT